GTCCCAACTCCCTGATCGGCCCTGCTCTGTGAGTGATAGAGGGCTGCGCCCCAACCACCCCCCCATGGGCCCTGCTCTGTGTGTGACGGGGTAGAGCCATAACCTCCCCCTAGGCCCTGCCCTGAGTGTGATAGGGTACGGCACCCCAACCCCCCTGATGGGCCCTGCTCTGTGCATGACAGGGGGGAGCTTCCCAACACCCTGATGAGGCCTGCTCTGTGAGTGACAGCGGGGAGCTCCCCAACCCCCTGATCGACCCTGATCTGTGCGTGACAGGGGGAGCTGCCCAAACCCCTGATCGACCCTGCTCTGTGTGTGACAGGGTACGGAGCCCCAACCCCCCTGATGGGCCCTGCTCTGAGGCCGACCAGGGGCTGCACTTAGGGATTGGGCCTGCCCTCTGCCACCCGGGAGCAGGCCTAAGCCAGCAGGTCATTATCACCCAAGGGGTCCCAGACTGAGAGAGGGCACAGGCCGGGCTGAGGGACTCCCCCTCTCCCCCGAGTGCACAAATTTTTGTGCACTGGGCCTCTAGTCTATAATAATAAAAGAGTAATATGCTAATTAGACCAAATGTCCTTCTGGATGTCATTCCAGATGTCCTTCTGGGCTAAGCCAGGGCCAGAGGGAAGTTGGGTCCTGGGTGCCAGAGGGAAGCTGGTGCCAGCAGCTGGGGGAAGGAAGGCCCACTCCTGCACAAATTTCATGCATCGGGCTTCTAGTAGAAAGATAATTGGCTTGAAGTGAAGAAATGAAATGCTATATTCTGTGTGTGTGTGTGTGTGTGTGTGTGTGTGTGTGTGTGTGTTTAGTTAAAAAAGTTAACCCAATTTTACAGTTAATGATTCAAGGATATTATCAAACATTTACAAGCAATTATAATAATAATTCAGTTTCCTATTCCCCATCATGACAGGTGCCTCAAAAATTTAGAAGGCATATAAAAATTATCAATCTATTTTTCAAAATTTGTGAGGTTTGGGTAGTTTTCTTTTGAGCAAGTATTACAACTCAAATGGCTTAAATTTTAAATAGCCTAAAAACTTGGATATTTTAAAATAAACAATCAACTGATCACATATCAATTCTAATGTAACAACCAAATATTTTTAATGAATGATTATTTCAATGAATTTAGAAATGTCCCCATGGCACTAAGTTAGAAGCCAATTCAAAATCAAATTAATGTACCAAAAGAAAACAATCCCAAACCATGAAATAATATAAAATAATAATGAAGCAAAAATTATCAAGGTGGTTTTAATGTTTTGAATTCTCCTTCTGCATTCTTATTAAATCTTTATGGACATTTCCTCTCCTGGATTTAATAAGACTGTCTGATTCATGAGATAGAGCTAATGGTGTCTCCCACAGATAACAATATAGAGGAGCACACTGTAAAACACAACTCCCTGCTTTTGTTCTTTGGTCACTTACATTGCTTTGACAAGGATGAAGCAATACAAACATATCTCCTGCAAAAGAAAATCCAACATAGAAAACCCATCCCAGCCAAAACCGGTTTGGCTCAGTGGATAGAGCGTCAGCTTGCGGACTGAAAGGTCCCAGGCTTGATTCCAGTCAAGGGCATGTACCTGGGTTGCGGGCACATCCCCAGTGGGAAATGTGCAGGAGGCAGCTGATTGATGTTTCTCTCTCATCGATGTTTCTAACTCTCTCTCTCCCTTCCTCTCTGTAAAAAATCAATAAAATATATTAAAAAAAGAAAAAAAAAAGAAAAGAAAACCCATCCCAAATGATAACACTGCCCGGCTGGTAGTCTTGGAAATGTAAGAGCTGGTACGAATGCAACGTGGAATGTGTCTATTTGCAGTTTGCAGCACATCTGAGACAGCTTCCTTGCGTTTGCCTGTTTCTCCTGACCGTGATAGAAGTGCCATCCTATACTTGATTAACTAGATAATTATGTCCTGACTTGAACTAGGTGGGTTTTTTTTGGTTTTTGTTTTTAATGCTCCATGATTTTCTGTTTTCACCACTGGTAGGAGTTTTCTCTTTCTACGTTTTAAAATGATCAAGTATAAACATATATGTGCACACTAAAGAGTAGTAATAAAAGGAATAATTGCACACTATGACCCCTATGTCCATTTTCCCTACTGCCTCCTCCCTCTCATCATCACTTTCTTTCCCTTTGAATTAAGCACCATCATGAATTTTGTATGTATCATTCCCTTTCTTTCCTTTACATTTTTCCCATCCATGCAAGTATTTCTAAACAGCACATGTTTTCAAATTTTCCCAGTTTTGAAATGTAATTAAATGCAGTAAAACTACAACATTCCTCTATGACTTGCCTCTTTTGATCAATATTATGCTTTTGACATTCATCCATGTTGATGTTAACAGCTGAAGTAATTCATTCCCCCAACTGTATAGTATCCCAAGGTGTAAGTATATCCATTAGGTGGATATTTCAGCTATTTCCAGTTTGAGATTATTATGAAAAGTATTGCTGTAAATAATCGTGTGTGTAACTTCTGCTACATGTGCACAAATGCTTCCCTGGAGCAAATGCCTAGCAGAGCGATTGCTGGGTGGTAGAAAAGGCATAAAGTGAACCTTGCTGGTTAATGCCAAGGACATTATACCATTTACACTCCCACCAGCTGTGTGTGAGGTTTGCTTCAGCACCATAGCCTCACCAACAGTGGCAATGTCAGACTTTCGAAGTTGTGCCACACTAGTAGCAAAAAATTATTACTATTTGCAAAAAAAAATTGTTCTCCTAGTCAAAAAATCTGAATTATAAATTTATAGTTTTACTAGAGGCCCAATGCATGAAATTCATGAAAGGGCCTCGGCCCTTGCAGCCCTGGCTTCATCTGGAAGGTCGTTCATCTGTCCAGTCTAATTAGCATATTATGCTTTTAGTATTATAGATAGTGTTATCTTTGACATTTAACCTATCCAGAATTGCTTTATGTGCAGACTCATGAACTAGGTATTTAATTTTAATATTTTTTTACATGGATAACCAATTATCCCAAACCATTTATTGAATAGCCCATCCTTTGATAAAAGTCACCATTGTCATTTATCAAATCCTCTTTTTCTCTGATGTCCTGAAGTCTCATTAAGAGATGTTTAGTTTCTGGGTTCCTGATTTATCTTTTGTAGAATTCTTTAGAACTACTGTGTCTGAGAATTGATTAATGTCTTTTTTTTTTTTTTTAAATATACTTCATTGATTTTCTACAGAGAGGAAGGGAGAGAGAGAGAGAGTCAGAAACATCGATGAGAGAGAAACATCGATTAGCTGCCTCCTGCACATCCCCCACTGGGGATGCGCCCGCAACCCAGGCACATGCCCTTGACTGGAATCGAACCCGGGACCCCTCAGTCTGCAGGCCGACGCCCCATCCACTGAGCCAAACCGGTTTCGGCTGATTAATGTCTTTTAATAGTTCAAAAATTTTTTTCTTTTTGCATTGCCTCTATTAAGTTCATTTGGAACCTCAATTGGACATATATTACATCTTCTCACTCCTCCATGACTCCTTCATATTTTACATTTTATATTCTCTGATTCATATTTTACCATTTTTGTCTCAGAACTTAATATGGATAATTTCTTCAGTTCTAACTTTAAGTGTACTAGTTTTTGCTTCAGCTATGTCTAATCTGCTTTTAAATTAATCCACTGAGCTTTTTAAAAAAACATTATGTTGACTCCATACAAGTTCTCTGGCTCTTTTTCAAATCTACTGTTTCTGCCTCACATTTTAAAACTTCACTTTTATTTCTTTAATTAAATTAAATATTGTAATTTTTATTCTGCCTGAAAATTGTGATATTTGACAACCCGCCAGTTCTGTGTTTCTCATCTTATCTATAGTGCTTTGTTTTCCAGAGTGAATGTGTGTGTTTTTGCTTGTTTATTTTATTTTGTTTCATTTTGAATATCAGCCACTGATTTTCCAGAGAATGTTATCTGTGGAAAGACTCTGAAGATGAGATTGAAGTTGTCTTCCTCCGGAGCGGAAATACTGTTTCCTACTCTCACTGCTAATGACAGAGCACTTCATTTAAGTTCACCACTTAAATTTTGTTCAATCTGTAGCCACGTGTGATTGGCACATTTCTCTTCTATAACTTCAGTGTTGTGCTTAGTAATCTTTAAACAACATTTAAAAAACGGTTAACCCTGCATTTTAATAATTCCATCAGAAGGGACACTCAGGGATTAATTTGCTATAATGCCAGAACTAGAAATGTACTCATATTTTAAGACTTTATTTTCTCTAATTTTTTTAACTCATAGTTAGTGAGCTGTTATAAAGAGGCTGCCTTAAATTCAAGGGTACATCTCCGAATGCAAGACTTCTGGTTTATAAGGACTCAGAACAACAACACGTTTGGGATCCAGCAGATTCTGGCAAAATGATAGCTATGTGACCTAATCCATTCTCACAGGTAGTTATCAGACTGCAGGGAGCCATCAGTACCACAAAGTGCACAGCTCACCAAAGGTTACATTTTCCATTTTTAAAGTTTCCTCAGTTACGGGGCTCCAACCTTCAAGCTCTGTCACATAAACATTGCAGAAGGATCCCTGAGGCCTGAGGCTGCGTGAGGGATAGCTGTACACCACTCACAGGAAGTTGCCCAGGTCCATTTTCTTACCTTTTTTGTTCCTCATTTTTTGGATTATTTCTCTGACTCTGATTGTGACCATCATTCATGCTTGGATTTGGTAACCTGGTCACTGAAAACAAGTTCTTCCCTTTGATCTAATCCTTTAGCTCCTTTGTTCCCCCTCCATGGTAATTTGCCTTCCACACACCTTTTCCTGTTTTAGACCGCATTCCATTTGTTCTGGTCCTGGCTCTATGAGTCAACTCCAGCCATCCCTCATCTTCCTTGAGCATGCGACTTATCTAGATCTGTGTTACAGTACGTAGGATGCAGAAGGGAATGTCTTGCTCCCTTCAGTTAAGCACGCACTACTACTCAAAGCGTCGTGTTGAGAGAGCTACCTGGATGGGCCTCCCGTCAGGTGTCAGCACCTCTTCTGAAAGCTCCATCATCTTCAGGGCCATGAGCGCAATGGGCTTCGCATGGCAGAGGCTTTTTCTGTGCAGTCCTGCAGCGACACAGTATGCGTCACCTATTGTCTCCACCTGCAGCAATCAGACAAATCAAATGCAAACATGTGATAAACGGCCGGAATAGAAATGATTAGTTATCTGCAATCACAAATGTTGCTGAAAAGCATGTCAGCAAAACACCGGCAAATTAAGCAATTAGACCACTGAGAATAATTAGAGCCAAGTTTGCAAACAGCCTCTGTCAAATGCTGGCATCTCACACCAGGGCTGCTCATCAACATTATCACTATGGATGAGCCCTGAAATCAAGAACAACTGGAACATAAAAGAATATGCTCTGCAAAAAAAGGATCGTCAGTATTTTACCCAGGCAGTTTCTAAATAATGACCTTTTCCAAGGCCACCTGCTCATCTTCCTCAAACCTTCAATAGTGGCTATATTTGAGATGAGTAATTCCTGTGCACAATCCCATGCATAGTCCCATCATTAAAGAGTTAACAGGCACTGTGAGAGTCTCTCTGACCCTGTTCTAATTCTGTTGTCAGCATCCATTCTGAATTGCCATTGCTTTTGTTCAATATTTTAAATATTGACCCCAGGTTAAAATTCCCAAATTTCCAAAGCATAGAATAGGCATAAAAATTGGGGCACACCTTATTTTCAGAGGAAAGTTCACTAGTTATCCAAAGTAAATATGATGGTAAAATCTTCAAGTGTTCTAATATTTTAATTAGAGAAAAGAGATGAAATATTGTATAAAATGCTCAATTCCAATATCATATTTTCTCTGTAGCCCTCCATGGCCCTCTATTAGTTCCTAGTAGAACAAATCCTTTCTTCTATTCTGTTTTAGCACTTTCCACACCACTTTGCTACAGTTTTAATCATAGGCTATAATCAACATGTATCTATGTATAATTAATATATACTCCTGGTTATGATGTAAGCTCTTTAAAAATGCAATGTCTGTTTTTTTATCTTTGTATTCACAGGGCTTATATGGTGTTAAAATATAGATATTTAACAAATATCCACCAAATGAATAAATTAATCTACCATGTTTACCATGATTATAACAACAGACATTCTAATTGTTTTCTCATTTCACTTTTCCCCCCCATGAGAGCCATGTAGATCTGCGTAGGAAAAAATGCCTTTAAATGACCAGACATGCTTTATCCTAAATATACCAAGAATTATAAGATATTCTATTAGTTAAGATCTAATAGCAATAATTAAATATCACTTGAATGTATTCTAATACTATAGATGTATTAAAAGATGTACTGTACTGCATTAAATTCTGTGACCATTAACTTAGACAATATGATGAGAAAACTTAAGAAGCCTAAGAAACCAAAATTATCACTTGCTTATCAGAATCTTATCAGGAAACACACATAAAAAATGATTCCAATACCCTTAGACCTATAATGAAGTTCAAAATTTTCACTTCAAGATCTGTTTTCTGGTGCCAGAAAAATGGAAATAAAATCATATAAGAACAGACAGATGATGCAATGTGAATTGGCAAAGAATTTATTCCTAAGACTAGAATATACTCCCCCCAAAGAATCTCCACTCAGAAAGACACTCAGCAAATAATAAACGTTAATATGTGGCCATTTATTATTTCTTCCTTAGAAACACAAAACCCTTTGCTAATTCTCATATTTATCTCATCTTTTTGTATTCCTACACAATTTTAAAATCTAGAACACTGTTAGCTATGTACTTTGAAACTAACTTCTGATTTCCGGATATTAGAACACATAGTCAATTTATTTGTATAAACGGAATTGTGTCACAGTCACTCTGCACATATGTGTTCCTGGAGCACGATCTCTTCTTGAAATCCCTACTGTCATCATTTTCCTCAGTAGCATCATCTCCATTATCTTTTCAGCAAAAGTTTATTGAGTACCACTAAATGTGCATTTACAGAAATTGTACCAAAAGAGTAAGGATTAGTTATATGTTGCACTTTCTCCATAGGAGTATCCTATATAATAAAATCCTAATATGCAAATCGACTGTATAGTGGAACAACCAGTTGCTATGACGTGCACTGACCACCAGGAGGAAGACACTCAATGCAGAAGCTGCCCCCTAGTCGTCAGTGCACTCCTACAGGGGGAGTGCCACTCAGCCAGAAGCTGGGGCTGACAGCTGGTGAGTGCAGCAGCAGTGGGGGGAGCCTCTCCCGCCTCCTCAGCAGCGCTAAGGAGTCCATCTGCCGGCTTATCCTCCAAGGGGTCCTGGACTGTGAGAGGGCGCAGGCTGGGCTGAGGGACCCCCCTTCCAAGGGCACAAATGCCGTGCACCGGGCCTCTAGTGTAACATAATAGTGCAGATAAGATGAACCAATATGTTACTAATTGATACAAAACATAAATCTAATGAAATAGAAGATAAATATGTGCACAACATAAATATAACAAATTCTCATTAAAACTCATACATATTGTGTAAGATGTTATAGCTTTTAGTTCCCAAATAGTTGAAGTCAGAATAGCGATCAGAAATAACAGGATCAAGAAAGAGTCAATAAATGGACACAAAAAAGAATGGCCCTTAGTAAAATGTAACATTCTTACAATTATTCATAAACAAAATAAAATTTAAATAAAATCTAAAAGATGTGTCCACTATACCAGGCTAGACTGTGCTGCATTAACAAAATAACCTCCAAACCTGAATGCCCTAAAATAACAAGGGTTTGTTTCTGATTCATGCTACATATTCATGTGGGTTAAAAGCCTGGGGCAGAGGAGAGAAAGACCTTGCTATGCCTCTTCACTCAGGGGACAAGGCTAACAGCACCTCCTCACCTGGAGCTGATTGTCATGACAGAGGAAAGGAAGCTCTGACAAATTATACACTAGCTTTTAAAGCTGTGCCCAGATGTGACATATATAGCTTCTTCTCAAGATTTATTCACTGAAGACAGTCACATGGCTATATGCTTAACATAAAGAGGATGGGGAAATGCTACCATCTTGTGCCGATAGAAGAGCCAGTAACATTTGGCAAATAGCACTAGTGAATAATGAGTGAATAGGGAATAGTTCAAAAGTTTTCATATACCCAGGTGTCTGTAAAGAACAGGCAGTATATCTTGTGTGATGTTTTTCTTTCCTTGCAGATGTATTCAGCATCTTAACCTGAAAATCTTGGCTGAAATACTACCACCTTAGTAATGCAGCTTTCCATTAAAGCTCCGTGCTTTTCTCTATAAAAACATCACTATCGGGTCTATACATGTTCAGCAGAATTAAGTATATGTGAAAACTCTAGTGGCCTCTACTCAAAATCATTAGTTGACTTTGCCTCATGAGGAGCTGCCGAAGTGAAAGCATTATGTATCAATTACAATTGATCTTGAGGATATTTCCTTGAGTTAAACCAAAGTAAAACAAATGGAAATTGTGAACATACTACAAAAAAAGCTGCCATAAAGTTGACTATGTTTTGAATTCCTTTATAATTGCTTCAGTGTTTTTAAAATAAAATTTTAAATACAATGGATCACCTAAAATAGTGCACTTCCTTTATTTTCAGCCTCTCCAACCTGCTTTTAAATAAGAATGGAAATAAGGATGGCTATGCATGGAGATAGAAAAAACAGTGCTATGCAAATGTCTGCAAACTTTATATTCTTTTCTGAACATAGAAGAGGAGGTTTAAATACTAAAAATATTATGTACAAATGTTGTCCCACAATTATTTTTATAGCTGTCTTTATCAAACTTTAAAGAAGTGGCCTATCTCAATATAGCTTCTTCTCAATCCCTTATTGTCAAAATTCTCTCATTTCAGAAATAAGCTTTTTTAAAAAATTTTAAAAAATATATTACATTGATTTTTTTTTACAGAGAGGCAGGGAGAGGGATAGAGAGTTAGAAATATCGATCAGCTGCCTCCTGCACAGCTCCTACTGGGGCTGTGCCCACATCCAAGGTAAATGCCCTTGACTGGAATCGAACCTGGGACCTTTCAGTCCCCAGGCCGACACTCTATCCACTGAGCAAAACTGGTTAGGGCGGAAACAAACTTCTTATGTATTCACTCTGTTTATTTACTTTAGTTTTATTTATTTATTTTTATTTTTATTTTTATTTTTATTTTTATTTTTATTGTTGAAAGTATTACATATGTCCCCTTTCCCCCCATTGACCTCACCACCCCATCCCACCCCCAGGCCTTCACCACTCTATTGTCTGTGTCCGTGGGTCATGCTGTATAAGCATATGAGTTCATTGGTTGATCTTTTCCCTTCTCCCTCCCCACCTTCTCGTGCCTTCCCTCTGAGGTTTGACTGTCTGTTCGATGTTTCTATATCTCTGGGTCTATTTATGTTCATCAGTTTACGTTGTTCATTAGAGTCCACATATGAGTGACATCATGTGATACTTATCTTTCTCTGACTGGCTTATTTCTCTTAGCATAATTCTCTCTGGTACATCCATGTTTTGCAAATGGTAAGAGTTCTTTCTTTTTTACAGCTGCATAGTATTCCATTGTGTAGATGTACCATAGTTTTTTAATTTACTTATCTGCTGATGGGTACTTAGGCTGTTTCCAAATATTAGCTATTGTAAATTGCCCTATTAAAATACCAATGTCATATTTCACAGACCTAGAACAAATACTCCAAAAATTTATATGGAATCAAAAAATACCTCGAATAGCCACAGCAATCTTGTAGCCTGTCCTGAGATATCTGAACTCTTTCACTCCTAGTTGATATGAACCTCAGGAAATCTGCATGGAAGCGAATAAGCATGGTTGTTGGAGGGTTTATTCCAAAAGGTGGTGTCCCAGAATGTGGGTACATTTTAATTGATGAATCTTGTACTCTCACTCAAGTACCACTGCATTCGCCCAAATGTGGGTTCCAGCTGGAGGAGGGCCCTGCCAGCCTGAGCATTCACTGTCCCTAAATCCAGACTGAAGAAAGTCCTTGCAGGCATCATATCCAGTGGCCACAGCCTTACCACCTCCTTTACCTCTAACACTTTATTTTCTTTTACAACTTCTATTCCTCTCCCCATGGACATCATTCCGTCAT